CTGGTTCACTGCCCTCTCACGACAGTGAAGGGGCCAGTGACATCCCCCCACGTCTGGAGGATAATTATCCCAGTCACCCTCTCACAGTGACTGGGGCAGATGACACTGACAATAAAGTCACAATAGTCCATCCTTTCATCTGGCGGATGACAAACAGCCCCCTCAGCACCTGCACACCATTTTGCCCAGTTTTCTCTAGTTCGGGGTCGCACAAGAAGCCAGCAATTTGTAAAGTTATTAGAAACAATGTTGATAATCCCACAGGCACAAGTTCTTCTCTGGGGCGAAAGTAGGGATAGCAGACAAAAAAACCCAGTCCAAGTCCAGGGTGGGTGGCCATCAAAGGCCAACACCCACACATACCTGGGGGAAGAAAGGGGGGGAGAGAAGCCACCCGAGGCGACCAATAGAGCCCTGGTCAGCCTCCCGCCTCTCCTGTCCCAAAACTCCCCAAATCCCCAGTCTCAGCTCTGATGACAAACAAACCCCGGATAACAGGGGTCAAGGCTCAAAAAAGAGCAGATAGTAATCCTGAGGGCAAGGCAAGGCTGTCCGTATTCCCCCATCCACCTGCTACAAGTTCTTTCCACAGCTGGATGATCCGTGGCTGCCATTGCCTTCCGCCGGCGCCGCCGCCGCCGCCACCACCGCCACGGCCGGCTCGTAACCGGCACCCTGGGCTCCCCATGGCGCCTCCAAGACCCCCGAAAAACGTCCAGAGAGCGTCCCAGAGATCCGTGAGGGACGAGGGGATGAAGGGCACCTCCAAGCCGCCGCCGCATAGTAACGCCGCCCGCCGCCGAAACGCTCCGGCTTCCACTCCTCCCGGCACTGACAAGCCGGAAACAGCTGTTTTTAGCAGGCCGCCGCCCCATCTCCCGCGGCGGCTTCAAACAGTGCGTCCCGCCCTGCCCTGATATTCCGGAGGGCGAAAAAGCCCTCAGCAGGCAGGGTGGGCATTCCCCTCATTGGGACTGGAGCCGGAGATTGTTAAAGCGGCTCCCGAAGACCCCCTGACACCAGCGACCTCTCCATCTCCTCGCGGAGCTCAGCCGACCGCCGCCATCTTGGGACAAGCCGGAAGATACTGGAGTGGGTTGCCATTTCCTTCTCCAGTGGATCACATTTTGTCAGAGCTCTCTGCTATGATCTGTCCGTCTTGGGTGGCCCTGCATGGCATTGCTCATAGCTTCATTGAGCTACGCAAGCCCCTTCGCCACAACAAGGCAGTAATCCATGAAGGGGGGTATTCTATTCTATTTTATTAAAGAGCCTACTGAAGAATAGTTGAGATCAAAGTGACTAGATGGACATATTTTCATGTATTATGACATTGTCCTCTTCCAAGATTGTTATTTATTTCATCTAATTCACAACATTGAGATTTTCAGATGCTCTCATTCAAAGGCCATCATCGCTAATCCGACTTAAATTCTTCAAGACAGGTAAAGTTGGTTAGATGCTGCCACTTGCTGTGCATATTTTATTAGAGGAATTAAAAATAATTGAAAGAGGTGGAAACTTGGAGAAATTCATTCATTCTTTCAATCTGAAAGAGACTGAATTTAGCTCAGGGCACATAGCAATATGGATTTTCAATAGAAAGTAATAATGCAATAACTACAATTTTCAGCAGCATACAATTTCTAGATCTTCAAATGCCTGGTCTGTGACCATAATAACAGACTGAATTTTTGAAGATGCTGAAGATGGTGTTTCTTTAGATTTTGCAATGCTTTTTTAATTTTTTAATTTAGAGGAAGTGGTTGACTGTAAAATTAATCACTTTCTAGTTTTCTTTGCAACAGGAAACATATATTTAAGCTTCTTGTTTTAACAAGTTGAACTTGATAACAATCAGAGAAAGTTACCAGTAACTTTACTTTACTGACAAAGTCTTATCTTTTGGGATAGTAATGATTTGTTAATGCAGAAACTTTAAAATACTGTAATTTTCAAATGCTGAAAATAAGATCAAATAGATTTCTGACAAGCGTAGCAGACACCTTTGTCTCCCAAAAGGTAGAGAAAAAACTACGGCAAAATATTGGCAAATAGGCCAAACCTGTAAAAATTAGATCAGAAAAGCTAAGGCTAAAATGAACTAAAGTTTGTGACAAAAATAAAAAAGCTTCTTTTGGTTTGGATTTGGTTAAGATGGCAAACTGTTTCAAAGAAAGATATTTTATTTGGTCTTGTTTATAATGGGATATGGCTTCTGGTTTTTAATCTTGAAATAAAAAAAATGATATTAGAATTTAGTTTGAAAATTTAATAATTGTATAGTTACAGAACTGACTTGTAATAATTGCAAGTAACGTAAAAAGTTGAGGTCGTAATTGTAGCAGTATTTTACTGTGTTGAAAATAGTCAGAAGTCAACCCTTTTTTCTTCAGTTTTTGTCCATCCTGCATCCACCTTAACTGTATTTTATGATATAATAAAACTTTACTTACCATACTTTTCAGAATATAAGACACACCCGTAAAAGAGAGTGGAAATATTGGTGCATCTTATACACCGAATACAGCCATTTTTGGCCTCCCGAAGCCCCAACCCGCATGTCCTGTTTTTGTGAAAAATGGGCCCATATTTTGCAAAAACGGGGTACACAGAGGCTTTGGGAGGCCTACAGAGTGCTCCTGGGGGCCGGGAAGAGCAAAAACTTTTTTTTTCTTGCTTACCTCTTTGAAATCTTGGTGCATCTTATACACTGGTGTGTCTTCTAGTCCAAAAAATATGGTATATACGGTACATGAATCTTTGCAACACATCAAGTCAAGTATTTCTTATATATTAATTAATCAATCAGTAGGATATCACACATTCTCCTTACTTCCTGCTCAATACTCAATTTCCACTTTTTCACACAGGATTTTTAGTTCCTCCATATATTGTGCTTATTACATTTGGCAGTCAACGTTCAACTCCATATTTGCAGAGAACATTCTGCACTGCAGAATGCATTCTCGAAATCCACTGTATTACATGCATTCTCTAAATTGACAAACGTTGCCATTTCCCTTACATTGATACAGGTAGTTCTCGACTTACAACAATTCATTTAGTGACTGTTCAAAGTTACAATGGCACTGAAAAAAGTGACTTATGACTTTTCATTTTTCAGTTACAATTTTTATAGCATATCCATGATCATGTGATCAAAATTCAGATGCTTGGCAAGCAATTCATATTTATGACCATTGCTGTGTCCCAGGGGTCATGTGATCCTCTTTTGGGACCTTATCACAAGCAAAGTCAATGCGGAAGCCAGATTCATTTACCAACCGTCTTACTAACTATCAACTGAAGTGATTTACTTAACTGTGACAAGAAAGATCGTAAAATTGGCAAAACTCACTTAACAAACATCTAACAACAGAAATTGTGGTCATAAATTAAGGACTACCTGTACATATTTCAGTGATTCCCTGAAAAGCAAAAAGTGTAGTTTGCATACCTCTTGTCTGATATAAACTCATCCTTACTTTCACATCTGTTCCTCTTACACTCTATCATCCATTCATTTTGTTGGAAGATTAATCCATTGTCTACTACAGTATTTCTTTGAATAGGATTTTTCTTAAATCATGTTTAATCAATTAGAAAATAGATTAAACTCTAGACTGAGTTTGGTATCAAAAATAATAGGAAACTGCCATCCATTTTTAGCAGTAGTGAACAGAAGAGTTTATTAGGTTTGTAGTGAAGAGGCATGTGTGTCCTTGGAGTTGCCTGCCTAGCCCTGATTTAAATTAGTGTGATTTATTTGGTTCTGCTTGAAATATTGCATAAGCTTATTCAATCAACCATAATTAAACAGTCCATATTTTAGCACAATGGATGAACTGTTCAGTGTCTAGATCTAGAACAATCCTCTCTGATTTCTCCATATTTCTATTAATTCCAAATTCCAGAGTACACTGGAGAAATGGATTCTAGGCAGAGGCTAGGCCAGTGGTTAATGCTGGTAAATCTCTGAGTGTGCAGATCCAGCCTTTTTCCAAAGAGAAGTGGGAACAGCCTCTGCTGCAGCATGAAAATATTTCACAGGCCCCCTTTCTTCAAGCAAGTAAATGAAGTATTAATGGAATATTAAAATGCCCTTTTTATGTCAGATCCAAATGAAGGAAATCAGTAAATAAGAATAATCAAGCAGAGATGGCTGAACACCTAATGAACCTCCCTACTATGCAATTTGTGTGGTTACATACCTGTCCAAAATTGTTTGCATTTCTAATTCAAACCTAGAGATTTTTTTCAGCTCCTGAAAGACAATCTTTAAAGCTCAATGTAGTTCTCAAGTTGAATTGGTCAAATAAATAAATAATAAATCTAATAATAAATAATAAATCTATGCAGGCTACAAACAAAAAATGAGGTTAGTTATTCAAAAGACTGCGATCATAGAAAGAGTACTAATAAACTGGGGTATTCTTCCTCGCAGTGCTGCGATTTCTTTTATTTATTTATTTATTTATTTATTAGCTTTGTTTTAAAAATCTTACCCGGCCCCCTTCTCAAGTTTATAAGCTAAATCAGACACACTGTTCTGGGCAGCCTAGAGAGACTCAAGGTAGAACTAAAACAGAACTTGACTCTGGCCAAAATCTGCAGGAAGAAGCAGCGCTGCTCCTCTCAGAAGAGTCGAACAGGCGCGCCAGCTGCAAGGGATTGTTCCCAGATCGCCCAGCCGGGGCACTCTCTCGGAACCGCTCTTCGCCTCAGTTCCCCCTTTGTCGCCAATCAATTCCTGGCGGGAAGTACGGTAGGTAACACGTGCAGCGCGTTGCCCGCCCTGAGGAACACAGCCAGCAGCGCCAGCTGTTGTTGACTGGGCGATGCAAAATCTTGCTGCCTTTCCTGGGAAACGCCCGACAGGCAAACAAATCCTAGCAAAACTTGAACTGACAGAAAGCGCAGTTGCTCCCGCAGCTTGGCGAAACATTCAAATTTCCCCCCACGCTTCCCTTGGACCTCCTGTCTCCTCTGATCCTTACCATTTGGGCCACTTTTAGCATGGCAGAGCAAGAGCCCGCGTAGCCTCTGTCGAGTAGTCCGGTGTCCGGCCCGTAGGAAAGTGGCAGCGGAGCAGAAGAGCTGGGACTGCCCCCACTGCTGGCATCGGTGCGGATGACCCGCATGCCGTGATATATCCAACACCTTCCTGAACGAACGGGTGCAATCTCCCCCCAAAACTATTGCGACACTTAACTCCAGAGGCGGGACAGTGCGGGGCGGGGCCCAGCAGCTCTGTCTACGATGCGTCTTGTACAGTTAACAGCCGGCCAACTACACAGGGCTGGGCCAGCGCCCCACTAAAGCCACGGGAGTAAGGTGGAAGGGCAGAGATGCTGCTTTGGGGAAGGGATCATGTCGGGGAGCGGGCTTCTGGAGCCCTTAACCCACTGCTGCGTCGGTCCTCGACGCGCGAAGAGGGAGAGAAGGTAAAACAGGAAGGAGGAGGTGGCAGATGGAAGAAAAGGGCCCCCTCCTCTCTCCGCACGCATATACGATAAACAGGAAGTCTATTAAATTGGTGGGGAGGGAAGAAATGCTTCGGGGCTACTGCTGCGAAAGTCTTTCGAAAAAGGATGGGTAATTATTTTGCAAAATGGTCGTCTTAGATTATAATGGGGCAAAATAAAAACTAGAGCTACATCATTAGGCTAATAAGATATTAAAAGGTATTTTTAGAATTCGTCATGATCATGGAAAGCAAAACCATGTAAGAGCAAAAGAAACAGCTGTTGCAAGGTTTTATACACATTCTGCAAGTTTAAAAGTGATCTAGACTATCTTTAAGCCTGTTGGGACAAATAAACAAGAATAACTCGTAGAAAAGTTAATTATAATGCAGATGTTAAAAGGGATCTTTCTCCTAAATGCCTTATAGAAGTTCTTAATATACATATTAAGAAGATATCTTAATCTTCTAAATCTATATCTTAAGATTTAGATTTAGATATATCTAAATATATCTATTTCTCAAATAGAAATCAAAAGCAAAGTTCTGAATACAAAGAAATCTAGAAGTGACTTCAAATGATGCGCTTTATTTTAAAGTATAAGTTAAAAGTTATCATATATTGGGACCCAATGTTGAAGCAGATCCTTAGCCTGATCCCATAGATTGTGAATTAGACCTTCTCCAGCTCTGGATCTTCCAGCTATAAAGAACATAATGGTTGCAAACTCGGAATTGCAGTCATACGTTTGGAAATGGCTAGTCTTCAGAAAGGTAGGACAGTGAATGTGTATGATTAGCTGCAGGGATTTATTTATTAAATTTATTCACCCGACTATCTTACTGTCACAGAACTCCATATCCAATGGTAATGCTCTCTTACTGAGATTCACTACATTGTATTGGCATTTAAAAAAAGCTTCAGGACTCCAACATATAGTAGCTAAAACTAAAACCGAGAATTCAGGAAATGGATTTCTCAAGGTGTCCCAAAATAATAAACTCTTACCACAACTATAAGTATTAAATAAAAGAATTGCTAGCTGGCAATTAACTTTGATTTGAGAGCATTCTGCATGACATAAAGACTTATAATCAAGCTTGACTACTGGTGACTTCATGGACACACCAATGCAGTTTTCTCAGAAATAGTGTATATATTCTGTAAAGTTTGCCACAATCACCTTCCAAGATATTTTTCAATTTCCCATAGCCAGAAGCCTCTGATAGCCTCGTGTTCAACTATCTAATAATCAGAAACATCCTGGTTGGCTTTTCTATTCAGACATGGTTAGCTAGATACTACCACCTGCTGACTATATAACTTATATGAGTTTCCTTTAGCCTAAATGATTTTGCTACTTGTAGACAATTTAATGTAATTAATTTCACATATATTTTAATCCAATTGTTCCTTCAAGTTGCTTAGAGATAATATATGTGGTGACTCTGCTATTTTTACACATAAAAATGTCAATGGCTGGGTTAAATTAAAGAACCTGACTATTCCAGCTTGAGGTTGAATTGTTAAGTATTTAATTGTATATTACCATGACTCTGAAATTCTTAGGGGAAAAAAATACGGAAGAAATTCCAAATTCATGGGATTCTGGATCTGTTTGAAGATGACAAAACAGAAGTCAAAATTGGTAAGTTTCTTTTTTCACTAGGTTTTCAAATGGTACTACATTAGTCATTCATTTTAAAAATTATGATGCTTCAGTGAGGTATCTAGTTATTCTACTTCTTTAATGTTCATAAAATTAAAGAACATTTCCATTATAAAAACTTAAGGATGAATATGATAACATTTATAGATTGTAAACTTAGTATCTCACAAAATATTCAGTGTAATATTCAGGGGTATTTCCTGGTTGTGAAACTTTATTTGGAAATGGGCTCACTTAAAAAATATAGCCTGCTGATCTTAAACTGTGAGAATTAAATTTTTCATTTATATCATAGACTTTACATAATATAATCAGGATGAACCTGGCCTGTTGGCTATTTGAGGCATGAAGTGAGATTAATCAGAGATCTATACAACTCTGGGATACAACAGGCAGCAATAGCAACAGCTTGCCAAAATGAAATCTGCCCATCCAGTTCAGACATCCAGAAAGGATTTGTTAAAGATTCCCTTATAAGAGGTATATTGGGCATCAACAATGGGGTAGCGTGATGTTCCCCCAACCCGTGCATAGTTTTTCTTGCATTTTCAGGAGCAAGTAAAATCTACCCAATGCACAATTCAAACACATTGTAGGAATTTGTATTTGTAGCCTGAAATTATGGGTTGACCACCTGTATGTGTGTGTGTGTGTATGTATGTGTGTATCTTTGTTGTGCTATTATTCACCAGTCAGGAGATTGACAAGATTTTCCTATTTTTAATTTTTTTTATAACCCCTTTTTATTTTATTTATAACATGAGGGGGTAAACATATACAACACTCCTTCCTCTTCCCATCTACCCCACATCAATAACCTTGTGACATGGGTTGGAATGAGAGAGACTAACTGGCCCAAAGTCACCCAGCTGGTTTTTGTGCATAAACTGGGACTAGAACTCGGTCTCCTGGTTTCCAGCCAAGCTCCTTAACCACTACACTAAACTGGCAAGTTATAAGCATTCTATGTTAAGTAAATATGCCAGAAATATGTAAGAAAAGTGTCTCCAATTTTGTGCTTAATATGGATGAGTACATCATTATTTTAAAAAAACCTTCATTGTTGCTATTTCTGAAAGCAAACCATCATATTTTCATGTTAAATCTCAAAACTTCAGATTATAATTTTTTTTGTTCTCCCTTCCCCCAATTCTAGTTTCGGTTGCAGTAACTTTGGAATATTAATGCTGACTTTTGACAGTATTATGTGGTCAAATTGTGTTCCACTGATGTGGAATTGTCTTTGTTCAGATCCCCAGAGGATGAATATATTTGTTTCTCTATCTTAAGATAATTGCATGTAAAAACTCCAAGAACAACCCCTAAGTCTGTATAAGATTTCTGCTTTTAAGGGAAAAATAGTTCAGCAGCAAATCATTTTTACACAACATGGTGAAGAACCTTTTTTTAAAAATTTGATTTATATGCCGCCCTTCTCTTGAGACTCAGGGCGGCTTACAATGCGTTAAGCAATAGCCTTCATACTTTTGTATATTTATACAAAGTCAGCTTATTGCCCCCACAAACTGGGTCCTCATTTTACCTACCTTAGAAAAGATGGAAGGCTGAGTCAACCTTAAGCCTGGTGAGATTCGAACTTACAGTAATTGCAGACGGCTGGTGTTAATCACAATGCTTTTAGTCTGCTGAGCCACCATGTTTTTGTTCATATCAAAACTTCCACACACAAGTTCAGTTTACATGTTTTTCCATAACAGTAACCCTAAAAAATGAACCAAAATCAGCTAGGGCTGGTAGTAGGGTTGATTCCTGATCTTCCAGGTGCTAGTCAGGCATTTTAAAATCACTGCACTACATAGGTGGCTATCAAAATGGAGCCATCTTTTCACTAATGTTGTAACCAATATTAAATCTAAAGTATAGAGTTCTGATTAAAGAAACCACAAATTATAGTGGTTTATTAATTTTTTCACTGATATTTCTCAGCAACTAGTTTTCAGAGGAATGCTGCCAGCAGCATCTGGTCTAATGGGCACCTCTATCCTTTTTGAATTTGTTCAGTATCTTCTACCAGGGGTGGGCAACTGTGGCCCTTTTACAACCTGTGGACTTCAACTCCCAGAATTCCTGAGACAGCCAAGATTGGCTGTCTCAGGAATTCTGGGAGTTGAAGTCCACAGGTTGTAAAAGGGCCACAGTTGCCCACCCCTGTCTTATACAATGGTTTACGGTAGTCATAATCACATCCTTCAGGAGTAAATTCCAGAGTTAAGCTCTGTGCTCTTTGGAACATTCTCTCCTATTTATCTGCCCCATTCAGAGTTATAAATAATCTTCTCTTCTGTTGTGAGAAACAGAAAAATTGTTACCTGCTTTTTCAGTATTGCATCATTTACCATATCATTTAAGAAAAATGATTAAAAATACATTTTTAAATGAAATTATTCATGTTCCTGATCATTTTAATTTTTTTTCCTGCATCTTTTCCAGATCTAAAGTGAGATCCAGTTATTAGAATGGAACATAGTATTTTAGGAGCGATCATACTACAGACTTGTGCAAGATTATTATAGTAATGCATTTTTTTATTCAGTTGCTTCCGTAAATGTATGTACCCCAATGAATTAACTATTCCCATCTATATCTAACTGTAATAAATCTACAGCCTTGAAAAGTTATACATATTTGCAAGAAATAGAAGGTTCTATAAAACAGTAGATTTTTCTAATAAATAAATGCATGCTTAAACAAAAACATTTATGAAGAAAATAACTGTGAAGTCCACTGATTTTGTTACAATATACACTATGAATTGATACAAAGTAACATGTTCTAGTTACAGTATTTTATCTGAGGATACATGTTTTTCATGTTACAAAAGTTTTCAGATTTTAAATCAGTCCCATCAGATAGTGGCCCTGGTTGTACAATGCTCTCCAACATTATTGACAAGAATCCTGAGATCTGGAGCAGCTTTCAGAGGGGCACAATACTGTATGGAAGTGCCCCCAGTGTAAACAACATTGAACCGCTTCCATGCTTTCTTCTCTTCCCTCCTATATCATCAATTCTTCCTTATGCTTGTTTGTAGTAACTGAGCTGTTATTTAATTAATTGTCACAACAATTAATTCAAACGAAGTTAATAAGGTAACAGTGTGTAGAACCATTTCTGTCAGGTGAACTATCCTTTCCATAATTTGTAAAAAGAACTATTTGTTTTAACTTTTGAGTGAAAACCATATTACCTAAATATTTTCAACAAAATTATATAACATTTACATACAGAGCTGTTTTATTAGAAGATAATACTTATTGCAAGGTCCGTGATCTCCAAGATACAAAACTAAAGTAGGTATTTCCACCATAGCAGGAAGCAACAACGAAGGCAAAGAACTACATGGGGGGAGGGGAGAGAAACAAAATTATTAGAAAACAGTAAAAATCTTCAGCCAGACTTTTATTTATATTCAAATATAATAGAAGAGATAGTACAAAAATAAATTTAAAATTGCATTGTTTCCATTCCTAGATTTCCAAAGTTGCCTAATTGCCATGTGACTGAAACATTTTCCAAATGCTGAATTTCATGCATAACTTCAACATAAGAATTTGGCCTTTCTAGGCAATTTTAATTTTAGAAGTTACTTTGGAGAAATAATATTTAAGTAAGAAAATTTTCTGCCTTGGAATAAAAGAAAGAGATGAAAGGGAGTTGGAAAATGAAATACATCAATGGGATGGCAACATTTTTATTGTACTCAAGCATAACCTATTGAGAACAGTAATGACTTGGGCATACATATCTGTTGCAGGGACATAATTGTGTAAATCTAACCATCTTAATATTCCCTCCATGCAAAGATAAGGGGAGGAAAGTAAGAGCACACCCGTTTGCTTCCATCATTCTACATCACAATTTGTTGTACAAGCCATAGTGCCCTAGTTAATATTCTACCATAAATCACAATATCTGCTAAACCAAAATCAAATCAGCCACTTTAAACCTTAGCATATACTTAACCTAAGATTAAGATTACAAACCTAAGTGCTATGATTACAAACTCAGGCATGATCTGTACTTGAACAGGAGACTAGCTAAAAATCACAGGACTCTAGGCCAGTGATGGCTAACCTTTTTGCCGTCGTGTGCCAAAAGCGGGGGTAGTGGTGGGGATTGTGCATGTGCGTGCCCACACCCATAATTCAATGTGCCCCATCCCCCCATGCATGAGCGTGTGACACCCCCCACTCTCCCCCCCGCTTTTGGCACGTGATGGCCCGGTGGGCTCGGTAGGCCCATTGTTTTGCCTCCCCATGGTCCAGAGCCTTTCTAGGAGCCTGGGTAGGGTGAAAACAGCCTTCCCCACTCCCCTGGAGGCCCTCCGGAAGCCCAGAAACAGCCTGTTTCCTGACTTCCAGTGGGCCAGGAAGGCCCGAAAATCAGCTGGCTAGCGCGCACATTTGTGCTGGACTGAGGTACAGTAACGCTCACGTGCCCACAGATATGGCTCCATGTGCCACCTGTGGCACCCGTGCCATAGGTTCGCCATCACAGCTCTAGGCGGTTTGCTTAAGTGAAGACTGAAGACAGTTTTTAAAATGCTTCTGAGTCAGTTTTTGCTTCCTGGCAACTGCCTAAACCAGGGATGGCAAACCTTTTTGGCACCGAGTGCCAAAAAGGTCACATGGAAATGTCACACATGCCACCATGTGCTCGTTAGGGCCATGGTCTGGAAAAGCCAAATTTCAGGGTTCTAGAGTGCATACACACCTGGCAATCAGCTGGCTAACAGGCCGGTTTTGGGCACTGCCATGCATGTGAAGGAATTTCGCTACAGAAAAGCAGAACTTCTGAGTTCTATCGCGTAATCAGCTGGCTGGTGCACATGTGCAGGCTGGTTTTCGGCACTGCCGTGCGCACAAAGGGATCACACTCTGGAAAAGTCGAACTTCTGGGTTCTGGTGCGCATGCGCTCCTGACAATTAGCTGGCCAGCGTGTGCATGTGTGCAGAGCCTTGGTGGCGCAGCAGACTAAAACACTGTTAAGTAACACCAGCTGCCTGTAGTTACTGCAAGTTCAAATCTCATCAGACTCAAGGTTGACTCAGCCTTTCATCCTTTCAAGGTAGGTAAAATGAGGACCCGGTTTGTGGGGGCAATAAGCTGACTTTGTATAAAAAAGAACACCGCTGGGGGGGGGGCTGAAAGCCCTACTAAGCATGAAGCCCTACTAAGCCCTACTACATACAAAAGTATGAAGGCTATTGAGTCTGGAAAAGTGCAGCATATAAATCGAATCAATCAATCAATCAATCAATCAATCAATGTGTGCCAGAAACTCAGAAGACAAACAGGCAAGGCCGTGCGTGCTGGGCAACATGGCTTTGTGTGCCACTTTGCGCACACATGCCATAGGTTCGCCATTAAGGGGCCTAGACTATTACTGCAGTTTACTTGACCAGATATTTTGAAAATGGTCTGCTACTGCCTCCTTTCTAAGGCTGTGAGAATTATTAACCAGTCACTAAGGCAGAAGTAGAACTCACTATTTCTTGGTTTCTAACCTGATGCTTTAAACACTACACTAAGCTGGCTCTCTATGGGGAGCTTAGTTTTACTCAGAGGAATTTAGTTTTATAGTATACCTGACTATAGTATACTTCACACATAAAGGCAGTCTACTTCATCAAGAACTCCAGCCAAAGGCCATATTTAGTGTGTGTGGGGGGGGGAGAGACCAAAAATTGCAATATGGTTGGGACCATCTTAGAGCCAAGTGACAGAGCTTTTTTTTTTCCTTTCCAATATTTTGATTTTTAACTGCAATTTGCCTACTTTACAACTCATATTACAATTTTCATTTGATTCTCATCTCCAGGACAGGTTAATGTGTCAACAGTTGTGGTCAGGAGAGTTACTGTGCAAGAAGTATTATATTATTTTATAATATAAGATGTAATGGGTTGCCGGTCTCTGAACTATTTGCACTGGCTCCTTTTTTCAGATTTTGGCTCTACATTCCAAGGTCCAAATAGCAGAGCAATTAAATAAGGAAAATTCTTCTCTTTATTAATAAATAGAGAAATTATTTATTTCATATGTGATATAATCCCAAAATCTTACATGAATCTTACATTTGAATGCTGCTAGATGAAAAAAGCAGGACTGAAGTAGTACTTTAAACAAAAGTTGAGTACAATTTTAAGAATGTCTAATTATTATCAGTTATCTTGAATCTTGTTATATCTGATTTTGGAGGTAAATGAACCAAAGCAAAAACACATTCTTCCCTCACTGCTGATATCAAGTTTAAGTGTGATCTTACCGAAGATGCTGCCCAACTATTGTAATTGTGGTAGTCGAGTTCTTTGGTGACTGCACATGCTTCTGAAATAGCAGCAATTAAGTACAAGAGAAGGGCACTGCCATTAAAATACAGACCCTATAGGATGTAGAAAAAAAAAGATCAGCATTTCTCCCCCCTGCAAACATCATTCTATGCACAATTGTATCATTTCCTAATTTAAGACAGTCTGTCTGGACATGAAGGAGATATATTCCCTTATATCCAGAGAGCATCAAGTTGTATTTTACTTAAGGGAACTGCATAAGCTTCTGCATCCATCTTCTTAATCTAACAATGCCAAGCCAAATATTACAGCCTCATCCACTGTACTTGTTTTGGGAAGTGTCAAACGGCTGCTATAGATCTGTATGAAGGTCACAGGTCCCTCTTTTCTGCAGTATATATTTGAGTAAAAAATGAACATGTACTCACAACTGTGGTCCATGGTACTTGAGGTATCCTCGTATAGGTCATTGTCATATAGATGATCAAAAAAAAGAGTGTAAGAATCCAGTAAAACACAGCCACAAACATTATCCATCCAAAGACAGGGTATAGGAAATAGTCAGTTCCAGCAATCAACATCCACACTAGCAAACCTAGTACCTACAAATATGTGAGAAAATAAGATATTATTATTGAATGCATACAAATATATCAAGAAAGATGTTATTATGGTATGCAAAGTAAAACATCTAAGAATTGTTTAAAAAACTTTAATAAAATCTGATTCCAGAATATGAATTTTCAGGTTTAATTTTTCTTTTTTTCCCCCACCCTGCTCCATTAAAATAAAATCTCATCCTATGAAATAAAATACAGCCTATAGTGATCTTAGCCAATCATGAAAACGCTAAGTAGAATTGGACTTGGGTAGACTACAACTTGACTACAAATTCATACAGAATAGCAATTGCAGCCACTGGAGGTCACCACTGGTCCACAGAGATATTTGTTTGGCATCACTAAAGTGATTTTTAAAATATCCTTTGATGAAATTGGGTTGATGTTTTAATTTCTGTGCTGTATATAACAGCAATTCAGTTATTTAATGTTTTAAGTTTTGCATGGTCCAAAATGATAAATAATATTGGACATAAAATAATTTTTAGAGTTTTCTATTTAATCCGTAACAATGCAGAGTTTGGAGTATAGTCCTGAGCACAGATGGCTACAATTGTCTCTCTCCATTTAACACTACTGAGCTCAGTCAGTTTAGTGATTAAGCTCAATACATTTATCTTAATTTTTTCCTGAATTGCTAGATTTATGAATCCAACTATGGATATAATTCTGGTTCTCTACAACATTATCATTTGGAAGTTCTAAATTAAAGTCAGGAAAGCAGATCCACCCTGCTAATAATAAACTACTGCTTTTTTTTTTAACAGCACATGTCCACATATGCTGAATCAGAGGTGGGATTCATTTACCTTCCCTACCAGTTCATAAATGTGAGCACACGCGTGTGGCCTTACCAAGGTATTATAAAGTGGTATTAACATTTCATGTGATCTTGATTCTATCCCTCTGTTTATGTAGCCTAGAACTGTGTTGGCTTTTTTGGCAGTTTCTGCACACTGCTGGCTTATACTGTGTTTCCTGGAAAATAAGACCCTGTCTTATATTTTTTTGAACCCTGAAATAAGCGCTTGGCCTTATTGCCATGCGCTCAAAAGCCCGATTGGGCTTATTATGAGGGGATGTCTTATTTTTGGGAAAACAGGGGATTTAAATGGTTGTCCACTAGGACTCAAGATCCATCTCACAGTTACTACTATTGAGCAAGGTACCACATACACCAGTGATGGCAACCCTTTTCGGCACCGAGTGCCCAAACCAGAAAGTGCATGCATATGTGTGCATCTGCATGTGCCAGAGCGCCAGAAATCTGAAGATCAGCTGGCCGGTGTGCATGCCTGTTTTGGGGGCATTTTTGGCCATTTTTGGGCTGTTTTTAGGCTGTTTTTTGGACCATTTTCAGGCTGTTTTTTCAGACCACTTTCAGGCTGTTTTTCAGTGCTCTGGCGCCCATGAAGACCAGCTGGCCATGCACATGTATGTGCTGGAAACCAGAAGAGTAGCACGTGATGGCGTGTGTGCCGACAGAGGGCTCTGTGTGCCACCTTTGGCACGCGTGCCATAGGTTTGCCATCACGGACATATACTGTACCTTTGCATTTTGTTTTTCTTGCCTAAATGTAGAACCTTTCTTTTTTCACCATTGAATTTCATTTTGTTAGATAGTGCCCAATGTTCAAGTCTGTCAAGATCCTTCTCTATTTTAAGCCTATCTTCTGGAGTGTTGGCTATTCCTGCTAGCTTGGTGTCATCTGCAAATTTGATGAGATCCCCATCTATCCCTTTATCCAAATCATTGATGATGTTGAACAGTACTGGGCCTAAAACAGAGCCTTGTGATACCCCACTGCATACTTCCCTCCATGTAGATGCAGTTCCATTGAGGACTACACATTGAGTGCAGTTGGTCAGCCAGTTACAAATCCATCTGGTGGTGATGCTGTCTAATCCACATTTTTCTACTTTATCTAGTAGTAGGTTATGGTCTACTTTATCAAATGCCTTACTGAAGTGCAAGTAAATTATATTGACAGCATTCTTCTGGTCCACTAATTTTGTCACTTTCTCAAAGAATGCAATAAGATTAGTCTGGCATGATCTGTTTTTGACAAACCCATTTTAGATTTTGGTTATTAATTTGTTTGCTTCTAGGTGTTCGCTGATTCGTTGCTTGATTATCTTTTTCAGAATCTTTCCTGGTATTGAGGTCAAGCTGATAGTTCTGTAGTTTCCTGGATCTATTTTTTTTCCTTTTTTGAAGATGGGAACTACATTAGCCCTTTTCCAGTCCTCTGGCAGTTTCCCTGTGCTCCAAGATCTTTGAAAGATATAGTTCAGTGGTTCTGATACCTCATCTGCCAGTTCCTTCAGAACCTTGGGGTGTAGTCCATCTGGTCCTGGTGATTTGAACTCGTCTAGGATAGACAGGTGCTCACTTACAATTTTCTTCTCTATTTTAACTTGGTGTTCTTAGTCTATTTTTTATGATGCTGTTTTTGATAAGTTGGACGGTTTTTTCCCTTTGTGTAAAGACAGATGCAAAAAATGAGTTAAATAGTTCTGCATTCTCCCTATTGCTTGTCACCTTCTTGCCACTTTCTCCCAGCAATGGACCAATTGTTTCCTTGACTTTGTTTTTTAATGCCGATTTTCAGGGACACTGTGGCATCGTCCAGACATGGGTTGCTTCAGTCAGATCTGCTGTTGGCTAAGTCATAGATTTTTGACCACGCCCCTGCTCCTCCCTTTCAGGCTCAGTTTTGGCGAAGACAAGCCACAAGAAAGATCTCCAACAGGAACCAACACCATTAGAGATAGGGACCAGTCCAATGCAGCAACTGGAATAATAAACTTCTTGGACATTAGAGAAAGTCAAGTACAGGCCCTGAGACAGAGGGAGGGGCTGGACGATGCCACAGGGTCCCTGAAAATCGGCATTTAAGGTAAGACCAATGCCTATTTTCCAGTGAAGGCTGTAGCATCGTCCAGACATGGGACATACCAAAGTTTTGGCAGTCCTAAGGGCGGGATGCCAAAGGGCCTGGAAAGACCCCGGCTTGATGCACCTGTTGTAATACCCTCCTGCCAAATGAAGCTTCTGCCAAAGCGAAAATGTCCAATTTATAATGGTGAATAAATGGTGAAGGAGTGGACCAGGTGGCTGCCCTGCAGACCTCCTCAAGGGAGGCTTGAGTTTTCCAGGCCACTGAAGTAGCTGCACTCCACATGGAGTGAGCAGTATACATCTGGGAACAGGAAACGCCTGGGCATGATATGCTGAGGCAATGCAAGCTCTGATCCAGTGACCAATTGTCATAGAGGAGACCTTATACCCTAATGAATTTAGGAGAAATGAAACAAATAAGGCCTCAGATTTTCTGTAAGGGGCTATTCTCTTAATGTAGATTTTGAGAGCCCTCCGCACATCTAAAGTGTGCCACCTCCGCTCCAAGTCATGAGATGGCCTTGGACAAAAATTAGGGAGAATAACCTCCTGAGCCCTGAACCTCCTGAAAAAAGGAATTCACTTTTGGGATAAAGGAAGGGTCCAGGCGTAAGACAACAGTATCTGGTCAGAAAACACAGAGATCTTCTCTAGCAGAAAGTGCTGCCAGCTCAGATATGTGTCGAACTGACGTTATGGCCACAAGAAAGGCTACTTTCAGAGTGAGGAAGCGGAGGTGGACAATTCAGAGAGGCTCAAAGGGGGCCCCAGTTAATGCCTTAAGTACCTTGGTCAAATCCCAAGTGGGGTACCTATGTATTGCAGAGGGCCGTAAGTGACTGGCGCTTCTTAGAATTTTTTAAATAACTGGGTAATGAGTAAGGGGCATCCCAGTGGTACTGGACAAGGCTGTAGAGATGGCTGCCACATGCCTCCTAAGGATGCTATGGGTCAGGCCGCGGTCTAAGCCATTCTGAAAGAATTCAAGTATCTGAGGAGCGGAAGCTGAAAGTGGGTTGATCTGGCGGGAGTTACACCACCTATAAAAGGTTAACCAGGTGGTGTTGTAAAGCCTGACTGTGGACCTATGTCTGCAGGCTTGCACGGTGTGGATAAACCTATCAGAATAATTATCTCGTCTTAGAAGGACCCTTTCAAGGGCCAGGCAGTCAGTTGGAGCCACTGAGGTTCCGGATGAATCAGGTCCCCCTGGCGCAGAATGACCTGATCTGATGGAATCTTCCAAGATTGTGATATGGAGAGGCTGACCAGATCCACAAATCATGGGTGATGTGGCCAATGGGGAGCCACCAGGATGATCTCCGCCCTGTCGGTGATGACTTTCCAAAGCAGGGCCTGTATTCCACCTACTATTGAGGAATGGACATTAAAAGTTGTGCATTTGGCGGAAATGGCAAAAATTTCATCATACCTTAAAGACCATTCAAATGAGTGATATATATCGGATTGGACAAAATGGATTGATTACATACAGAAGAAGTATCCGAATAAGAAGATTCATATAGCTTATGAATAAAATAATATTAAGTAGTTTATGTTTGTTTTTTCTGAGTTATAAGGAGTTAAGGACCTAGGGAGAACATGAAATGTAATAATTTGTTAGCACATTTTAGTTCTTGGTTTGTGAATGCTATACCCTGTGCTCGTTCTGGGAAGTCTAGGGAGAGGGGTGGGGGGAGGGAGGGGAAGGGGAGGGGGGTTGAGGGGGGAAGGGGGGTGAAAATGTTTGTACTTTTCATAAAACTTTTCAATAAAAAACAAAAAAACAAAAAAACAAAGCAGGGCCTGTATTAGGGGTAGTGTAGAAAAGGCGTAGTGAAGACCGGGTAGCCATTTGAGCTGGAGGGCATTGACCCCCTCCGCCTCTGGTGTCGGGAACCTTGAGAAGAATAGAGGAAGTTGGTTGTTCAAGTTAATTGCGAATAGGTCGATGGTCGGAGTCCCGAACTTGTTGCATATTTTTAGGAATATGTCTGGGTGGAGCTGCCACTCAGCGTTGTACACCTGAGTCCTGCTGAGAAAATCTGCGTGGATGTTCTCCATCCCCGCTATGTGGTCC